CCGGGCCCTGGGCGGGCGCGCCGGCGACTTGGGGCCCGGCGGTCCGGGGCGCTGGCCTGGCGCCGGCCCGAGGGCGTGAGGGTCGCGCAGGAGACCGACCAGGAGCCCCGGGAGAGCGACCGGCAGCGTCCGGCCGAGCGGGCCTCACGTCCTGAGTCACGGAACCGGGTGACTCAGGCAAACAGTAAAACCTCAGTAGGCCGTCTCGCTCCAGGAAAGCCTAGGTTGCGTGGGATCTGGGAGTTCTGACCCAGACATGGGGTCCCGAAGGGTGGAGCCAGCAGTGTCCTCTCTGGAGCCTGCCAGGCCTTTTGGGGCGCTGCTTCCCTGGGGAGCCAGACTAGCGCCGTGGGTCCCTGTTTGGCTCCAGGAAGCGTCTGGGGCTTAGGAAGGCGTTCCCTGCGTTGGGGTGGGTAGCTGATCCTTCTGAGGCTCCGGGAGGTCGCAGGTTTTAGGAAGGAAAAGGAATGTTTATGGGCAAATCCCCCACCCTCGATGAAACTGTGTGTGCTCTGTGTTTGGCACAGGCGCTGTGGGTGCTTCCCTGGTCTGCCTGAGCCCACCCTCCTTTTTCCTTGAATGTGGTTTTGGAGACCTCAGTGGAACATGCAGGCTGAGGAACTCAGCTTATGGGGTGGTTCAGCCCTTTGGTGGTCCACCCAGAAGTTACTGCCAGATCAATACCGATCATTTGTAGGACTCCAGGGGAGGTGGTGCTGGCTGGGCTGGAGCAGCAGCGCCTCACAGCACGTCTGTCTGACACAGAGGAGAGGGGTTGGCTGGAGAACTCTCCTTGGCAGGTCCGTCCTGTCTTCACCCCACAAAACATTTGAAGCAGAGGATTGGGGTCCACACTGCATCTTTCCAGCCATGCCCCAGCTGAGGGCTAGTTAGGTAGGCTAAACCTTGGAAAAACCAGGGGCTCTGAGGGATAGGGCAGCAGAGCTTTTTTTGCGAAGAGTCATCTGAGTACAGTGTTGAACCTGGACTCTGTCCGCAGCGAGCTGTGTGATTTCAGGCAGCATCTTCACCTCTCTGTGTCATTTTGTCTGTAAGAGAGTAGAAATAGCAACTGATTTATAAAGTTCTGTAAGGGTTAAATGAGTTCACATAGTGTTCAAAACAGCATTTGGTTTGTGACAAGTATGTGGTAGGCGTTTTCTGTTCTTGTTTTCCAAGCTATCTGCTTCCATTCTGGGGAGGATCGCACCCTTGTGGTTATTGCCATGAGACAGGAAGATTTTTAAGTGGTTTTCCATTTGATCTAAATGTCTAACATGGGAAGGAGGCAGTCCCTCCTGCCTGTCACTGAGCTGGGGGGCCACCTAGGGAGTCACTGAGCAGGATGAGCCCCCATAACAAGTGCGTTTTTGCCTTAGACAAAGCGACCAGCCAGCTGCTTCTGGAGACTGACTGGGAGTCCATCCTCCAGATCTGCGATCTGATCCGCCAGGGGGACACACAGTGAGTGCCCGCTCACCTCCCGAGGGCTGGACGACTGTTTGGTCTGCATGCTGGGGTCTTTGAGATCTTGGGGCCATTAAAGGACTTCTGTGCAGCTTGGAAGCGTGTGGTCACCTGCACGACTGCCTGAGGTCTCAAGGACCGGATGGCGGCTGGGCTTTTTCTGAGTCTCAGAGACTGTGTTCTCTTTCCCTTTCTGTTTCTGCTTTTGCTGTGGCTCTTTCCTGTCAGAGCCAAATATGCCGTGAGTTCCATCAAGAAGAAAGTCAATGACAAGAACCCCCACGTGGCCCTGTACGCCCTGGAGGTAACCAGACTCCTCTCATCAACCATGGGGATGTCAGGGCTGGGTGGACTGCCAGCAGTGGAGGCACCGGGGGTGAGGGCAGCCCTGGTGGAACGCCGGGATGAGGGCAAGGCTGCTGCACTCAGGCCCCGAGGCTGACTCCATTGTCAGTCATTGGTAACATGGAGTTAGAAGGGCCTTCCCCGGAGGCTGCCTGTGGGCTTTCCCGTCTGGCTGGGTGGCCTGAAGGCCCTGTCGAGGCCCACCTTCTCCCTGGCTTCTGCAGGTCATGGAGTCTGTTGTGAAGAACTGTGGCCAGACGGTCCACGACGAGGTGGCCAACAAGCAGACCATGGAGGAGCTGAAGGAGCTGCTGAAGGTGAGCACCCTACAGGGACCGGGGAGGCCTGGCCTGGGGGTGTGCCACCCCGCACATGGGCTTCTCGGGGTTTGCATGGCAGGCACAGTGTCAGGCACAGTGGAACAGGAATGTCCATGGCGCCTGCCTGATGAGGTCAAGCCTTACGGGAAGCCAGCTGGGGCTCTTCCAAGGGGTGCAGAGGAGACCCACTCCTCCTGCGAGGTTAGGAAGGTTTCCTTGGGGCAGGAGCTGAGTTTTGAAGGGCAGAGGACGCTCACTGAGCAGCAGAGAAGGTGGGGAAGTAGTCTTGGCATGTGGCTGCGGACAGGAGATGCCAGCGGAGGCCTCGGGGGCCCCAAAAGGCTTGGGAAGGCCCCTAAGCAGGAAGGCACACAAGTCCAGTGTGCTTGTGGCGGAGGAGTAGGGGGTGCAGCAGAGCAGGGACGCTGCGGCAGTGGGTTTCACACCTGCCCAGGCCAAGGAGAGAAAGTCCTCCAGGGCCCCAAGGGCTCACCTAGGGGGGTCAAGTTCACTGCCTGCCTGCAGGGATTATGACGTGGGTGCTGACACCAGGAGGTTGTGTGATGCAGAGCTGGGCAGTGCAGCCACCCTTGGAAGTGAAGGGCTCCATGGACGTGAGGCTGCCAGGGTGGGCAACTGTCTCTGCTGCCATCGGGCGCCCGCGGGTCTCGTGGCCAGGAGTCTGTCTGGGGCTGAGCTGACAGTGGGGCTTCTCCGAGGGCCTGACTGGTGACCTTGGTGGAGAAATTGGGACCTGCCCTCCCCATTGGGCACAATTGTGCCCTGTTCGTGCTGCGTGTGGCTGCGGTCCTTGGAGAAGCAGAGCTGCCACAGGAAGGGGGTCCACTGACCTGACACGGATTACAGGGAAGAGGGGCAAGCCGGGTGCGTGAGCTGCAGTCGGTGTCTCCACAAAGCAGCTTTCTCAGTCTGCCATCCTGAGCGCCGAGTGTGGACGGCGTCCCTGAGAGAGGCTTAGAAATGTGATTGGCTGTGCTTTAACCTGCTGAGGTGATGGCTTTGTATGTGGGGAACTTTTTGGAGCTGCCGCCCCCACCACGTGCCTGGGGTGGCTGTGCCTGGAGGGCGGGGCTGGCCAGCTGGGCGTTCGCTCCCTCAGCCTGGCTGGCTCTGCCTGTTTGAGATGGCCATTAGTGGCACCAGAGTGGGTTTTAGGCTGAAGGGCTCCCGAGGTGGTCGGATGGAGTCCTGGGCGGGGTTGAGGGAGCAGGTAGTTCCAGTACAGCAGGAAGTAGGTTGGAAAGCCGTCTCTTCCGGGACCCCTGGCTTCTGCCGGCAGTTAGAGACAAGTCCAGGCCCTGCGTGGACAGACAGTTACAGTGGATCTGTTCTTAGAGACAGGGTGCCCTGGAGAAGGCCTGTGTCTAGGGAGGAGGGTGAGTCCGTGGCCCCAGTGCTCACCTCTGCCAGCCCCGTTTGTCAGAGTAGTGGGGTCTTCCAGCCGCCTCCCCGTACTAAGATGTCTCTGGTACCTGCACCCTCCAAGGCCCCCTTCCCCCCCTTCTTTCTCCTCTCTCTGCAGAGGCAGGTAGAAGTAAATGTCCGAAACAAGATCCTGTACCTTATCCAGGCCTGGGCACACGCCTTCCGGAACGAACCCAAGTACAAGGTGGTCCAGGACACGTACCAGATCATGAAGGTGGAAGGTGAGCGGGGGAGCTGGGCAGGAGGGTCCAGTCCCAGGCTCAGGATGCACCCTGTACCAGGCAGACCCAAGGGAGGCTGTGTCCACCCCACCTAGGTTGGGGGCGGCTCCTCTCCGTGGGAGCAGCGGTGGCCTCAGTGCAGCTCTGGGCACCTGAGTCCCTGCTTTCTGATGGGCCTCATGCCCCATCAGAGCAGGGGCCAGGCAGTGCAGTGGTGAGTTGATGGAGGAGCTGGGTTCCGAGAGGGGGACCTGGCTCCCCAGAGGAGGATGGGGGTGGCTAGGACGCATGGTCGGGGGAGGCCTGGAGAGCAGGTGGCAAGAGTACCAGACCTGAGCGTGACGACGAACCAGCAGGAGGAGGCCGGGGCCCGCGTCCCACTGGGGCCTCAGGTTCGGCCAGTGTGGAGCTGACTGGCTGTTGAGGGCACAGCAGGTGCCAGCCCGGAGGGGAGGCGTCGGGGAGGCAGATACCGAGAGCCAGGACACAGCTCCTGAAAGCCTCAGGGCAGGTGGGCGAGGACTGGAGAGGCCGAGAGCCTCGTGTGCAGGGCGGCCCCTGGCCATGACAGTGGCCTCTTCTCTCCAGGACACGTCTTCCCCGAGTTCAAGGAGAGTGACGCCATGTTCGCCGCAGAGAGAGTGAGTCCGCAGGGCGCTGGGGTCCAGGGACTGGGTGGCTCTGAGGAAGCAGAAGGGGCCCTGGGACCCGGACTTTTTGGGAGCAGGGGAGCTGCTGCTGGTCTTGAGAAGGAGAACGCTGACCTTGCCGAGGGGAACGTGCGTTTCTGCAGGCGGAGACGGGAACCCGGTTCACGGTGC